CTGCTTTAGCCAGTGATTAGTATCAAACAGACTGGTAGTGTAGCCACCTGAGTCATCCTGTTTAGCACTGTACTTAAAAGGTAGCTTGCATACAGTTCTGGATCATCTTTAATATTTTGAGAATTAGAGAAAATCAATATTAATTATTCAGTCAACCTGTTAATTGTTTTAAAAACACAGTTACTGGCACTGAAATTAGCTAGCTTTAGTAGCTGCCTGTGGAATGTTTTCTTGCTTGTGGAAGGTGAAGTTTTATAGTGTTGCTGTAATGTTGCTGTTGCATGGTGGAGCAGTGCTGTTAAATTACTGTTCCAGGTTTAAGGAGAACCCAATTCCTTGCACTTAAATCTGGTCGCAATCAATTTCCATTGTATTTATTGGTTCTCGAAAATTTCAGCCAATCTCTAGCTGAATTTTTAGCCGATTTAAAAAGCCTGTTTCAAACCTACAGTAGCAACAGAACTACCTTGAAAGGAAAGGATACTTTACTTCCTAAACATGTCTGATCAAACAGTAGACCCATTTAAAAATAAAATAGCTGTGTATAGGAAGAATCAGTGGTATATAATTTTTCCAAGGTTTAGGTTTCCAAAGTTAATAAAAAAAACCCCAAACAAACTAAGCAAGCAGTGGCCCCAAAGCTATAAATTGCAGTCACTGTCCGAATCTTTAATTTTTCTTGTCTGTAGGAAAGATTAGATGGGCAGACCTGAATGCAGTCATTGCCTAGACTCAACTTGGGATGCTAAGAATCAGTTTATCTCTATCCAAAACAGCAAAACATTTTGGTGAGACAGTTTGCCAAGTGGTACAAGCTGACAGAATTCTGTAATGGAAATGAAGGAATTTAACATTGCCTGAAAATCTTGACTCAAGTGCCCACGAGTAAGGGACAAACCTGAAAATGGCAATTTTGTGTACATGTTGAGGTTGAGCAGTCTGGAAAACATGGCAGTTCAGATCTTTCAAAGTCTTTGGAAAAACAGCTTTTTGCCTAAATGTTTATTAGGTAGCTATACATTTTGAAAGACCAGAGCTTGTGGCCAAAATGTGACACAGTAATTCTAGATCTTCCTTTTTTTTTTTTTTTCCCAATTGAAATGTCATCTTACGCATTTTAACACACAAATCTAGCTGGTAGAATCAAGTTCTGACTTGTATCTGAAGCACATGTTTCTGAGAGCTTTAATAGATTTGTCAGGTACTAAATAGTGAGCTTGAAAAATAATGTAAAAAACTGTGAGCTTGGTAAGACAACCATTGCACCTAAAGCAAGCCAATGAAATGAGTGTTGCTGATAACTTCTATACCTGTAATATTACCTGTTAATTGTGAGTAAAAGCCACTTAACGGCTTAATGTTACTGGATTACATTTTGTGTCTGTTCAAAGGATGGACTTCTGACTTCCAAAGTACTAAGCTGCTGACAAAATAGGAAGGATGTTTTTTTCCCTTGCCAGTCCACAGGTTGATGGTGGGGTTGATGTGATTTCATCTCTTTTCTGTCTCGCATGCTTATAGCAGTTGTGGCTGTGGTACCACCCCAGGAAAATGGGGTTCCAGTTTATGAAGCAATTCCATTTTTCCCTAAATATGCAGGAAAACTGCAGTTGTTTGTAGGGTTGCACTGGCACCTTGATCAAAGATTAACCTGATTTGAAGGAAACCTTTGAGAAAAGTTTCCCCTTTGAAGGAGTGGTGGGAAGTCCTCAGGTAGCATTCTTGCCTGAACAGTGGTGCTAACTGGATGTTATCAAAATATGGCCTCAGTTTCTTGCTTCAGCTTGAGGGTGTCTCCGTGTGCTCTTTGCCTGTATAAAACCGGTGGCTGTGCAGATTCCTCAATCAATAGCCATTGATTTGTAGAAAATCTTGGTTTAGAAAACTCCAGCAGTTCAGGAAGGGGCTTTTCTCTTATCACATTTTATCAAGGAGGAGATGTTAGGTATATATTTTGTGATTTGCCATCCTTGATTAATAAGGAGGCAGCATATATAAAAAAGACCAAAATTAACATTTAATAATTAACTGTGAAGCTTAGAGCCTGGGAAAGTAATCTAAATAATAAAGATCTGATAAATTCATGCCTTTTCCTTGGCCAAAATAGTTAAATTTATGACCTGATCATTCATTCCCTTTTAATTCCTCACCCTCTTTCTTGCTCCACCCTGACTCTTTCCTCTCATGATACGGGCGCCGCGTAGTCCACCCCAACTTGCCTTTCCAGTTAGTACAGCTTCTCCTTTGCGCACTGACCATGTGTGTTGTATAGTCCCTGTCAGAGGTTCCTGTCCAGTTTGGCTTCTGTGCTCTCACCTTTCGGCTGCTGCTTTGTGAACAGGCAGAAGCAGCACGTGGTTTTTGCTTTCCCAGTCTTGTCTGCTCTGACATGGCTAAGTGTATTCCTCTTGCACACTTCCCCTCTTAGCTTTCTTGAGTCTCTTTTTTCCTATTCCTTTGACCCCTCCTCCCAATTCATTACTTCTTTCCAGAGTGCCCCCTTTCCAAGGGTTTTCTCTCAGCTTTGCCTGTAATTTGATTTTCATGTATGTTTTATTTCTGGGTAATGTTGCCTATTAGACTAAATTCACCTGTTACACCTGCTCAAATCATCTGCAGATCTGATTCTGGTTTTTTTTGCCTGTTCAGCTACAATTTCATGAACTTACAGGTGTCTTGCTTTCAATTAAAAATTCATAGTCAGAACTTCTGAAGAGGAATGAACTTATCTGAATGTATCACAGAAGAGGAAGCCAGCAAAGAGTTCCCAAAACAAAGTGTGATGGCCAAAATGAGGGACAGGGAAAGCCATTTTGCAGCTCAGTGGAATGATAGTAGCAGGTTTTGAATATGCTTGTAGGTACTGAAGTGCTTGGGAGTCTAGTTGAGAAAGGTGACATGGTATCCTCAATTTTTGGGAATGAAACCCAGAGGCTGAAGAGGGTGGGGCCCAAAACTATTAAACTGCTTGATCCTAACTGGTTTTTAGTGCTTTATTGTTGTATCTGATGCTTTTCAGCTGTGTTTTCATTGCAGTTTAACATTCAGTGCCAGCCCTTTTGGTATTACTGATACTAAGCTAGCTTTGATGTTAGGAGGTAAAGATCCCAGGTTCCCTGGTGATCCGCATGGGTTGATCTGAAAGCTCTCCCCCCAGACCCCCCACCTCCCAGCGAAGGATTTCAGGCATTGCAGGAAGCGAAGGGACAGCCATCCAATTAAGGCTTCTAGGAATTGTGTTAGAAGCTTGTCTCTGCCAAAGTATGCATGGTTTGCTTGAATTGCCTCACAATATTTTAACATGTGGCTGCTGTATGTCTTCTTCAGGTACCTGATCTTCTATTTTGATTTGCAGAATGATGAATGGATATACCGTGAATGTTCTAATGAGCTGTTGACTGCTTCAAAAAGGCAACCCAAATCAAACCAAAATAATCTCAAACTAGGCCTGTGAGAATAGCTGGGTATTTTTGTATTAGCTTCTGGTGCATGTAGTGGGGATATTCCCATTTCATTATATAGGGTTATTGTGAAAATGAAAATATTATGATTTGTGTTTAAATTATATTGTGTATGGTTAATATGGCATGTAGTAAAAATACACGAGCCAAATGGTTGGTAGGTTTAGGCTGCAGGGAGTTTTGCAACTATTTGTAATCTTATGCCCAAAAGATTTGGGTAAAATCTGCCCAAGCACTTTTGCGTGGGGGTTGTTTTTTTGCATTTTCTAGCTTTCAGGCTTTTGATTTTTTAATTTTTTTTTAATTACTTCAGTAGCATATATATAAAAAAGAAAAAATGTTTTCTTTGTTTGGTTTTGTCCTTTTCTTTTCTTCAGTAACCGATGCCCTTTCCACTTCTCTCTCTCCACGTTTTGTGTTTCTTTTCCATCACCTTTCACGCAAAGTATAGCCAAACTTAGGAAGCTCCTTGTTTATTCCTTGGGTCTATTAAGAAACAGTTCTGATACAACAAAGCTGTCTTGTTACCATCTGTCTTTATGGGTTCTTGAAGTCTATCAACCAGTTTCTGTAGGTAATGCTTCAAATGGTTTTTTGTTTGGGCTTTGGTTACAGTGTGTTTGATTTTTTTTTTTTTTTAATTTTTTAATTTAAAAACCAAAGCCCCTTATTCTGCAGATTTGTATTTTGCTGTTGCTGGAAGGAAAGAGGAGCTGTATTTTCTTACTGCAGAAGATGCTTCTCCAGAACTGTCTGGACTAGACTTGGCTCTGATAGAGAAAAACTTCATAGCCTTCCCTTAGTCTTGTTCTTTCCCTCCAGTATGGCTTCATCTGCTGTTGTCCATACACTCCTGATGTATAGGAACTTGACCTGACCTTCACTAGTGTCGGTAGGACCTTGTCTAATAGGAATGAAAGTAGCTGAAGTCTTAAGTTGTGCATTTTTTTGCTTAATACAACCAAGAATGAGAGAAATACTGTCATCTGCCTGCAGATTTAGGAGAATGTCACAGCATTGGATGTACTCAATCTTTAGAAGGCTTATTTTTCAAGAATGAGCAGTGGAAATTTCTTGAATACTCTGCTACTCAACTGGCAAATCTTTCTTGCTGTAATTCTAGTGGGTTTTTTTATCCTCTTGTAATTGTCAGGAAGCTGCAGTTCTGTTAATTAAGCATTACTGTTCTCACAGAAGAGGATTATGCATCAAATTCTCAGTGTTTGGTTGTCTTGCAGTAATGATTTGAAAAGTGAGTGTTTATACAAATTGTTTCTTCAGACACCCTGTTACAGTGTCCTGGTTGAGCTGTTAAAAGAGGAATTTAGGGAAGAGATCTTGATGCAGTTACTTCTATATTAGTAATCTAATCTGTGTTGGAGAGCTGAAATGGATTCCTTAAAACTTCAAATTAAAAAAAAATTCCACGTAGTCAATGTTTTTCATTTCTTTGCATGATCAGGTGTGCTTTTGTATTGTGAAGAAATTTAGGAAGAGTGTATTAATCCAGTTGTTTTCATAGTAAACATTTTTATTTTTCAGGTTCACGCTTTTTAAAAAAGAGGAATAGAACAGGAAAAAATGGCAGCAGAAACTCAGACACTTAACTTTGGGCCTGAATGGTGAGTTTTTTCTGTTTTGTGAGATGCTGGAACCTTGTCTAAAGTTTAAAAAAACCCAAAACATTATGAATTTCTGTCCTTTGGGACTGAATTGATTGTAAGACTGAGTTGGTTGTTATGCCTTTGTTGTTCCAAGCTGCTTCACCTCAGTCCCTGGCCTGTGACTGAAAGCAGTATTATAGAATTAGTCTTCACTTTGTAAATTTGCGTTTGTATGAAATGAGGTGGGTTTCATGTTATGGTAGTGTGTAACATTCACATTGCTACTGAGTATCTGAAGGAGGAATAATGTGTATGGTCTTGCAGGTATCCCCAAAGCAAGTGAAGAAGACATCTTTTCTTGTTTGGTCTTTCCATCTGATACATAGTAATAGGGAAGTTCTTAACACTGTCCTTACCGGACTTAACTCTACAGCTAAGCAAGCTTTCTATTTCCAGTATTATGCTAGAAGTCTGTGTTTCATCTCAGTCTTCTGCATGTGTGTACTGAAGAGTGTTAGGAAAAAGGAGCTACTGTGTTAAAGTGAATCCATGACGTTGTATAAGCTTGTGTCAGCTGTTAGTTTTCAAGCTTGTCTGATATGCATTTTCCTGGCTTTTGCTAAAGAAAAATTAGACAAGTGTGATTATTGTTCAGTATTTTTTCCAATTTTTTGTTGAAGTGTTGGTGACTGATTACAAAGAAGAGTTCTGGCTGGTGTGGTTTCTGAAGAGTGATGTGATCCTTAAGTGTGTAAATGGGAGTGTGGAGTGGTTATAGGGAATATAATTGCTGCATAGCACGTGGTAAGATTATTACTGGAATAACGTGTTCACTTTTGCTTACTCATATTTATACACAATGTACAAAAACTGGAGAGTATTCAACAAACAAATAAGGTATGATTTGTGGCCCAGAAAACAATGAGAGAGCTCAGTCTATTTTGTTAGATTGAAAGAAGGTTAAAGAATTACTTTATCACTATCTATAAATACACCCGCTAGGCAGATATCTTATACTGGAGTGCTCTTCAGTGTAAGAGACAGACATGATTAGATTCATTGATGGACAGAAGCCAAAGTTGTATTAAAAAAAGAGAGGGGGGAAGGCAACTCTAAAAAAAGCACGTATTTTAACAGTAACTTGATTGCTGTGTCATAGCCAGAGGACTTCAGTCTCCACTTAGTTTAAAAACCAGATTAGGCGATGTATGAAAGTATATATTATACTTCAGTGGGTTACTAGATTTTTACAGGAATAATGGAATAAAATTCTGAGATTTCTGATTATCCTTTTGCATTGAAGTATAGTCCTGTCTGTCATGTATGCTGTTGTATCACTTAATAGTGAAACTCTCGGTCGCGTTCGACCTGGGTTGGAGTTGAACGTTGCACTGAGCTGTCCAGTCCTTTGAATAATGCCTCCCAGGCATTTTTTGTTTGGGAGTGGTATGTAAAGAAACTACCACTGGGTGGCACCAAACTAAAAAAATAAGAAACATCTGACTTGCAAATTACATTTTCCTTTCTGTTTAAAGAACAATAAAACAAATCAAAGCATGCTTCAATAATTAAGTGAAAGGTAGCCTCTGAATCAATGTTTTAGTTTGCAGCACCTTCCTTTCCAAGGATTTTGCAATTGTTGAGAAGAGTTTTCATTGTTTAACTTGTCTAAGATGCACATCAAAGAGAATGTAGGCACGTGGTCTGGGTTTTGCTTCTTGACACACATCCTTTTGTAAAATATTCCTCAAACTTCAAAATACAGGCTATTTGGATAGCTGAGGAAATGATTATATATAGAGAGACTAATCCACCTGCAGAGTGCGAATAATATCATTCAACTGTTTGAAATGTCTCGGAAGTAGAGTGTGGCTATAGTTTGTACATCTTTTTTTATTGAGACGCTAAGGTAAATTATGTATGTGCTCGCTGAACAATGCCATTAATTTTAAGTTCTGGAAAAAGAATTTGGAATAGACTAGGATTCCAGGGACACAAGAAGAAAACTCATTGCAAAATTTACTGTCCTATAGTGTTTGTTAAATATTGCGAAACATCAGAATAAACTTTTTCCTTAGATTAATGTTTGCCACACTGTCCCTAGTGTGGTAAGAATTTTTCTTGTAAAAAAGCTGCTGTCATTAATATCTGTGGAAGATTTGCAACTGAATTTTGTGCAGTCAGTGTAGGTCGCCTAGTCAAGACTTTAAGGGTGTAGCTAGTTTGCTATATAGTCAACAGAAAAGAGTTCTCCAGGGGATGAGTTTAATTCCTTGGTGTGCTCATGGGTGTGTCTTTTTTCTTTCTCTCTCCTGGCTATAGCAAAAATGGTGCTGAAGCACCAAGTTTTAGAGTTTTGAAGTTAGACTGTTAATGTCTTTCCTTTACTTTCAGTACTGGATTTATTTGATTCATGTCAAATCTGTAAATGTGCAGAGGGATGGTAGCATAGGTGAAGACACATTCTCCTCAATTTGGTTTTCATTGCTTTTCTGCGTTATTTTAGGCTGCGAGCTTTGTCTAGTGGTGGGAGCGTGACATCCCCTCCTCTGTCTCCGGCTTTGCCAAAGTACAAACTAGCAGACTATCGCTATGGGAGAGAAGAAATGCTGGCACTTTTTCTAAAGGATAATAAGGTGAGCAGGAAGAGGAAGAAGGCCTTGTGTGTGTATTCCTAATGACACTCTTGTGATTAGGAGTTGTATTTTGTGATTAAGGACAAAGAAATTGTGTATCCCTTGGCAAAGAACTGAAGCGGTTCGATTGTGGGTTTTTTGTGTGCGTGTGTGCTCATTTTTTCCCTCTCTTACTGCATTTGTTATGTTTCATTATTTTTGTCACTTTAGGGGGAACTTCCTGAACCCCTGGGAATAAAAAAAATGATTGCCATTTCAGTCCCACTGCCACAGATGACTGAGAGTTAAAATCTCCTTGTAGCTGTGCAGATTTCCTTGCCTCATTAGGATTTTATTTAGTATAGTGTAAAATAGTTATTTGGTTCAGCTTGAAAGTCAGGCAGTAAATTATATTAGCAGATCATCTAAAAAAAGCAAGAGGTCCCCATTTATCCTGACTTAAGGCAGTTCACTTTAGCAGGTAACCAGCCCAATGAGAGCAGTCCTCAAGTAGTCCACTTGTCTGGGAGTCAGGACACAAATACAGTCAGGCACATGTACTACAAAAGAGCAGCATAGAAAGTCAAGAACTTACCTTTGGTTTAATTCCAAATGAAGGTACTTAATGATACAAAAGTCACATTTCGGAGAATGTTTCAGGCAAATGATGAATACATTGTGCATTTGTAAACATTAGGTTTTTCTGTTGGTGGTGACAGAGGTTGGCTTATTGTTGCAGCAGGCAC